CTCCTTGTTGGTATACCGCTAATCGTTCACGTGTATCATGGTATGTAAATAAACATTGAATTGCACATAATGTTATCCATATTTACTGATCAGTTTGAATTTATCTATCGATCGAAGTGCGTGTCTTGCGAAATATATAGATCACCATAGATGAAAATTATATCGACTTTTTCCGTTTTCGTATAATGCATTTCGCAAGACACACACTTCGATTGATAGATAAATTCAAACTGATCAATAAATATGGATAATGCTATGCAATCGGTGACTGCTTTGTTCTGATTGGTTAAAAAGTAATCCTCAATTATCAATCATAATCGCGCAATAGCTAGTCTGACGTTTTTAGACTTTTTGGTATTATAAGTTTTTTATAAATGTCAGGGAACACATACACGCCATCCTGACGCTTTAACCCCCACAATCTGGAGGACCAGATCATAGATATGATTCATTATACAGAGGACCCACAGTTTAACGCCTGATCCGAACGATACTGTTAATCATAGATCACTTAATCATCAGGTGGATTTATTTTTGGCCCTTATACGTGAAAAATCGCGTATTGGCACAAGTGGGATTGAACTCGGATGTACAAATTATGAGTCAATCACACCGAGCGGTGAGCCACTTGACGTCCTTCGTAATAATAATCGAAATATTAATTTTTGAAATTAAACTAATGAGAGCACGCCGAGAGAAATGTTTCAGCCACTCGATCGAAGTATAACCCGGCTCGGTGCGGCGAAACATGTGAATGCCAACCAACGGCGCACTGCTGGTGCAGCTAATGTTTTATATTTTATAAGCTGGGCAGGGCTATACCTAGTACAATTGCAAAAATTAATATCTCGATTATTATTGCGAATATCGCTAAACGGTATAGCACTTTTGTGTTTATTTCAATCAGCTCTACCTTCCTGTGCACGATTGGAAAAGTCTCGTGGAACACTGTATATTTATATGTACATGTACGGTATCACCTCATCGTAATGGAAATCTAATGAAATTGATATGATAGATTGGACATTGTTGTAGAGAGAGAGAGAGAGAGAGAAACCAATTTGTATTTTAAAATGATTTAATTTTTTTTTATTTTTCATTTACACTTTTTAAGGTTATATTTAAAAAAAAATTATTTTATAGTAAAAATTGTAAGAGCAACAGATTGCCAAAAGCATAATAAAATATGCGTAAAATTAATTACATTTGTCCTGTTATTTTAGCTTGTTATACCGTCGTCGAGTTGTGTAATGTGTATTTAAAACATTTAAGCGAGGTCAACAATTTCATTGCCCGAGTGAAAAGTTAGTCAGCCCGTTAAACTACCTTTTACGATTCTCGTATCGTAGTTGTTTCCACATTGCGCTAGCATTAAGCAGATTACGCGACGAAGTTTTTGTAAAACGTACATTTTATTAAATAAACAGCTTACTTTTTCGGCGCCATTCGCAAAATTTCGTAATTCCGGTTCAAAATGAAAGAAAGTAGCGTGACAAAGTTACAAGACGTAATATGAGATTCGTGCTAACACGCTATAACTCTCGAACTCCTTTCCCGTCCCTCCGAAAGAAGGCAGGGTCGACAGCCGCCTAGCTTCACGAAACATTTCGTGTACCTTCATAACAGAGTTTGGAGCTAACAGCGTTACTAGCGCACGATACTATCGTGTAACTACATTATGTCTTAATGGATCTTTCGACTGCGACAAAGGGGCGATAAATGCCACTGGACACTTACCTGCGAACATCGACTTACTTTAATTGTAAAAGATGTTGACCTTCTTGCGGTTCATATTTGTACAATAAGACCAGGCATATTTCTATTACAGATTGTCACATCATCGTTACGAACTTTATAACTTTTTACACTCCCCATCTTGACCGCGCGTAATAACGACGGAGATAAAATGCGCTCAGCCCGAAGACTTCTCTAATCTCGTTTGAGACCCTATTACCTGCCGATGAAAATCAAATTACTGCATCAGCTTAGTCTGACCGTTTTGTTTTTCGCAATTTTATGTCATAGCACATTTTCAATCATACTTCGATATTTTTAGATATTTCACTCGTTCTATTGTGTCCGCAAAAACAAATATTGGCTATTCGTTATTTAATTATATGTCAGATATCATAAATTCGTTATAATGTTATAACTTAATAATAGCTTTAATAATAACTGACATTTTCATTAACCTCGGTGCTTAATATAAATAATTTTATTCGTGCATCCTGAAAAATAATATACAAAAATATATGTTATCTTTAAATCTACATATCCACTCGTTTCGTTCGCAAGTGTAAGATCCGTGCAAAAAGAAACGAGATTAACGAGCTCTGATACAGGGTAAGCTTTAAATTCTTAGCGTAATTAAAGGGAAGCCCCAAAGTGGCTCATAAATGTAATACAGTGTCGCAGTTATATTTTCTGGGATATAATGTACCTCCATCTGAATTTCATTTGAGCTTGCTTGCCAATTTAATGAAATTATTTCATTCCTGTAAGCCTATTATATTTGGAATTGAGAACGTCGAATCTTCCAAGTGTAAAATCGGGCCGGCGTAATATCAGATTAGCCGGTCGAGAATTTACGTATGAATATTTCCGTTAGGAAATTACTTTATTTTCCAATTACACAGACGAGCTTTATTACGATCACTATAAATTCCGATAATTATTGTAAATTATAATTAGGATAGATTATATACACGTATAATGTGTTCCTTTGTCATAAAAACAAGTTTTAGGTAAGAATTTTGTGCGAATGCGAATTAAATATAAAATACTTTTGCAGAAAAACGAAAAAACTTTTCTTTGCGCGAGATATACGAAAGCTCTTTTGATGCTGAGTAGAGAGTGGTATCTGTAACACAAGTGAATAAACTTTTTGCCTATAAATAGCGAGAGGCTCAAATAGTTTTACGAGTTACTTGTCTGCACTGCGCGTTACCTGATTTATCCGCAAGTACTTTTTCGATCTCAGAGATAGAAAGAAAGAACGTAATAAAAAGTATGGACTTTGATATTGATTTCATGTATTACGAAGAACAGTCATCCTATTACATTGCAATAGTACATATATGTAGAGAAAATGTTTGCAAAAAATGATTTACATTATTAAATATAATATTAATTCGGGAGTAATCACTAGATTTTTTTTACGTAAACAAGTTATTTGGAGTGATTTTTAATTTGTGAAATTAAAATTATCGTTAACAATAACATATTGTATATTATTAATATTTTTCTGATTGATTTTATTTAATAGCATTTGAGAACATTTATAAATATGAAATTTAATCACAATTTTAAAAAAAAAAGTGCAGAACCAAATAAATATCAAACAAAAAGTAAGTACGTTAAATAGCTTATTATGACAGTATTTCTAAAATTTTAGTTAATATAACTTTTTATTGAGAGTTATCGATGAAAAATAGCATATTTAAAAGTAAGGAATATTTATTTAAAAAATGTGAATGTTATTGTAATATTTTACAACAGTTTACATTTTTATTACTGGAGTCTAAAAATATTCAGGTAATTATTCTCGGGTTCAGTAAATCTCTAAATTAAAATTGCAACATAAAAATTTGCAAAATTAAGCTTGATAAAAATTGATTATTCACGAACACTTTTTATTTTTCAATTGCATTTACGGTCTGTGTAATAATAATAACGCGCGTTCTATCGTTTCGATTCAGACTCAGTCTCACGACACGGTCTCTTCTTTTGCAGATGAGGAGGAACTGGAAGAGCGCCTCGAGTCGTCACAGAATCGACGACTGATTATGACGCGCGTCCGCACGCGGTGGCATTTCTCTCGTCTCCTCCTGTTGTTCTCTTCCTCCGGAGCCCTTCAGGCACATCACTGCCTGACCCTCCTCCTTCTCGGCCTTACCTCATTCTGTACAGTCTTATCGTGTGACGAGAAGACGAGGCCTCAGAGCCGTGACCTGAGCCCGCTACCCCGTTACCTTGAAGTGCGGAGATACTCGAAGTGGAGAGACCTTGACGCTACCGGAGTGATCCCGGAATGGATGCAACGCGAAAACGAAGCCTCAAGCATGGCTGGTCAAAGTGCTAGCGACGTGACCAGTGACGATCATCTCGATTCGTTGAAAACTCAGTGGAATCACGATGAATTTTATCCGTCAGTGACCAAACGAGCTTATTTCAACGATAATACCTTCGCAAATCGTGTTAACGATCAACGTGGCAATCAAGTGTATTCTAAATATACAAGTAATTACCCGAAACGGAAATCTGATGATCGATTAGGTAATCTTGCGAAAACTCGGCAAGTTCGTAAGGGAAGCAATTTTCAAAGTATGAAGCAGCGTAAAGAAAGTGCAAGGAAATGGTTGAACAATCTGGTCAAAAAACGACATGACGTGCCAAAGCTTCAAGTTGCTCCTTATTACTTGGTAAATCAGGCTGTGAACAAAGTTCATTTTCCCGGTAGTGATAATGAAGCAAGCATAACAGTCTTAGATGGACTTCGCCAAAGTGCCAGCAATCTACCCGAGAGCTCCGTTCACGATCGGGATGCTGAGGACGCATTAATCGACGTTCCGATCGACCAGTTGAATTCGCGCGAGGCTCCAAGTGTCAGTTATCCGGCGAGGAGTCGACGAGATCGTAATGAAGTCAGTTTCAAGACAGAACGGGCGAAACTAAAAGCCGATAATTTATTCGAAACTCCTGTTAATCATGCGAGTAAACACACGAGCGATTATTCGGCTTATCGAAGTTCACGGGGGAGTGAGGTCTCAAGCAGATCGAGAAAGAACGATATTGACGAATACCGCGATAATCTCGCGAGCGATCGAAGCGGGATTGTCGGCTTCTGGACCGCGAGGCAAACTCATTTAAATCGTCGCAATATACATGCACTTGATAATCGAAGCGGCGGTGCACGCAAATTTGGAAGTCAGGCCGACCGGCTTTACAAAAGCGACGATATCGTAATAAATGACATTCGTAATGAGTTCACGAACGCGAATACGAACGATTCAGTCAATGCAATCAGGATTGACGCGGTTGCCGATGACTTCGACATTGGCACCACTTCAATCGAGAATCAAAACCCAATCGAACTCGACAGAATTTCGGAAATCGAGAAGCGAACTGATGTCGACTCGGAGTACGTCGATAGTTTCTTGGATCTGAGTAGTGCGGATATTTCCCCCGCGAATTGTCGTAATGTCGCGTGTTCCAAGTCGAGTGGTGACGACGTATCGATGATTAAAATAAAGAAGTTTGGTGAAACGACGGAATCCTACGAAGATCAAGAGTACGAGGATCATTTAGAACGAGTAAGCGAAATAACGACGACGTCTGGCAACGACAGTGATACCGATATCGACAGCGAAGCCCCTTTCACTGGCTTCGAAGGCTCTCAGAAATTTCCCGTAAAAATCAATCACAAGTCGCCGCCGGTGTCGCAGCAAGTCGAAAAGTTTGACAGGCGACACTTCGGTCCGCACAAGGAAGACGTAATACTTGAAGAAACATCTACATGGTATCCGAGTACCGTGTTTCCCGACCTACCAAAGAGTCCCAGTAGAGACGTCCTTCATCGCAAGACGAACGATGACGTTTCCAACAACGACGTAGACGAGATGGACAAAGCGGACAATAGAAGTGAGGAGACGACGAAGATGTACGAGAAACGGAATAATACTTACGACGAATCATGGCTACCCGGTACCGAAGTACCGGCATCAGGACGTTTCTCAGACATCAACTCCGACGAAAAATTCGCGATGACTTCGAACATCGCAGACAATGAGTTCGAAAACGTGACGCGCGACAGGAACGATTCCGACAGCAGGACGAAGATCGACGTAACGATACCGAGTGCGAGACCGATAGAGAAAATAAATATAACTATCCTGGGTCTCTTTGAGATGACACACAGGGCACTACCGAGACCAGAAGGATCCAGCGAGCTTCAAGCAGCCAAATTGGCGGTCGAGCGTATCAACAAATTGGATATCTTAAAGCGCTTTCGTCTGCGACTTATTTACAATGATACTAAGGTGAGAGTTAGCTAGTTAGCAAAAAATAGTATTGTAGTATTTAATATTACTTACACGCAAGAAAATGCGTATTACTTTTAAACACTAAGGCTGGTATTAATAATCGATTTTTAATTTTAAAACTGTCTTAGATACAGTCTTAAGCTATCATAAGCCAATCACAAAGCTATGATTTATTAACACAGTAAGACATTATTTAAGACGGGCTTAACATAAAAACCAACTGAATATCAACCTGAAAGTATCAACGTTTCTTATTCGCTAAGAAGACTAAACAAATAAATTATTATAAAAATTAAAAATAATGAAAAAGCAAATATTTTATCAGTATAGATAACAATTATAAAGGGCTAAAAATTTCAAAATTTTATTTTTTTATATAAGAAATATATATATATAATATTAATCTGAAAAATAAAAACTGTCAATAATGATTACTTGGTACTGTGTTTTCACAATAACTGTGTTAACGATAATGATATAATACAACCTGTTTTTACTCAGAACGTTAGGTTTCTATAAGCTCAGAAACGAATGCTTACATTATGGTATGTCCGAGATAAAAATTGTACAATAGAGAGGCGAATTAATGCAAGACAAATGAACGCTGATTTCTATTTGAAACAATTGCGCACTTCCGCATCATTACCGTCCTTGTTCACAATCGATCTCCCCGTGTCCGATTACCGATACAGAACTTGAGCGATCCTCGAGAAGTTGTATTAAATCTATTCAATTCTACTTTGAATTCCAGAAGCAAGAAATTGTTGGAACAACGCAATCTGACTTGCACAAATCGGTAAAAAAAAATCAGCTTGCCGTTATTCCGCATAAATTTGTCTAAATGTTGAAAAAAGATGCATTTATTCCGTTTCATTAATCAACAAAGCCAACTGAAGTGGCATCGCGAAAGAAACAGACTACAAAGTCATGTAGCGATCGGTCAATTAATAGATCTCAGCTTTTTCTGTGTATGTGGGAAGTAAACCGTTTTAACATTATACAATATTAAGTGAAGATCGACCGATGAAATTAAATATACATGAATGGAAAATGCCATATTCGGCTAAGACGGTTCTTCGTGTCTAATAATACATATTTCTTATAAATTTTCGCAATAAACTATTTACAGAATTTTAAAAATGCTTATTAACGTTGATAATATTAAATTACTTGTCAATTCAATTTATGAAATTATTATTACAGCTTCAGCTTAAGACTGTGTTTCAAAACCAACAAATAATCGGCGCATAGTTTGCTGACAAAGAGAAAAAAATTGCTATGAACGTTAATTCTATGCCATGACGGTAAATTTATTTGCACGTACAGAAATTGCAAATTGTTTGCAGGTATAACAAATATTTATTCTTTTTTGTATTTGCTACAAAAATTATTTACAAAAAATGCACAATATTTGCCAAATATGCAAATTTGCTTGCTATAAACAGCAGACAAATTTGACTTTTTCACAATTAAATTTTATAATTCCTTTTGTTGTGTTTATAGCAAAATTTTTCTTTAAATTGAAAATTGTATAAATTCATAAAAAATATTATTAGACAGAACCGAATACGGCATTTTCCACTCATGTGTACGTTTAAAATAATTTTATGTCGTTTATTTTACTCACAAGACAGACAAAACGTTAATAGGATTTCGTCGAATACGTTTCAAATTAGAAAAAACGAAGGCAAAAGCGAGAATTAAAGTCCGCGCGAATTTCTCAGATCCTCTCAGTTGTCACTAACACATTGCGCCAGGATTTTCCGGGCTTCCGGTTTGAAATTTATAGTTTATTGGCAGCAGACCTCTTGTCTGCCGCCCGCACTCGTCTTCCTGTTATCGCTTAAACGCTTTAGAAATGGTACGCGCGTACCATCCACCGAAAAATTGAGAGTACACCTAAATGATGGCGATTGACGTCACTGGTTGCCTCGTTACGTGAGCGACGTTAAGCTCACAGAAGCAATGATGATTTCAGTGGAATTACTTCTTTCTCTGCTGATCAAATCTGTGGAACATAAACTGAGTACACGTATATTATACACATATATATATATATATATGTGTGTGTGTGTATTCGACGATCAAACTTTTATCAATTTTTCTACTGCTTAAATCACATCATTTTCTACGACAATCAGACCTCTCAGCCGCTGAGATAAAATCTCATATTGGAGAGCCGACCAAACGATAATATCGTTTGGAAACTTGGAACTTGTTCTTCATGCGTTTGTATCACAAAAAATAGTTGTGCGTTTGTGCGAGATATTGCATTATAATGCGCTTACACACGAGGCGTATGATAAGATATGCAAAAGCTTTGCGCATGATTGCTTTGACGTTATCAGGAGACTATCGTGTAATACGCGATATAAGGAAACACTGTAAGGATTTGCATAATGTAACGCATAAGATGGGGGAGAAATACCGTGAAAACGCGTTAACGTATACTGTGAGGCACGAGATAAATAATTTACCTCGCACTTGGGGACAGAGTTTAAAGCGCTCAATTAATCTTGGATTTATAATTTTTAAGTATCCGAGCTTCCAGAATCCTGTCTGTAAGCTTCTCAAACTACTCCTAATCTCTGTAACAGCTCGCAAATTCTCTACTTGCGCGACAATGTCGCATGGTGTCCTCCGACGACAAGCCGTTGTCAGATGCCTTGCCTCCTAAATAGCTTTGAATATCTTCTGGCGGCGCGAGCTAACTATCCATATGCGTTCCAACAGTTTTGCGGTGCTTCCAGCGCATACGAAATACTCTTCGTAATGCACGCCCATGTTGCGCTTTGAAATTTAATGACGGTGATCGGTTCTCGTTCTGTTCGTGTTGCGATAAGAGCGGCTTAAAAGAAAACATACAAACTACAGAAATTCATATTCTATGCATTTCAGAGATAAACAGTGTATAAAGTAATTCTATACAAGCAATTTTACTCTGTCGATTTCTAGAGATCTTTTGCGTTAATTCTCGTGAAATTTATACCTATGTTAAAAATGTGTACGTTCAATTAAAATTCTTCTTTACATTATATTGTATTGAACAATCCTATTTGCGTTAGTAATGAAATGAGATGGCTAAATGGACTGGGGATTTTTTCCAATTTCATTGTCCTCTCTTCTCTCGCTTCTATTATAGGTAATTTACATTTCCACATATACGCTTTGCACTTATGTACATTCATTCGCTAGGAAATGGCGAAATCAGCACATCAAGTGAGACCTCTGGCTTCCTCGATACCGCTCTCGTTGCATAAAGAGAAGTGCACATATGTGAACGCATTTTTTACTCTCGCTGAACACAAAATTCTTATATAATTGTATCAATTCCATACCACTCCATTATTAAAATATTTCAAGATTATTTTAATACACTACACGGAACTGAGATGAGGTCTTATCTGTTTTAAAAAATTAATGAAATTTGCCGCCTGTTGAAATGATCTATTGTAAGATTTAAGTGTCCAAGTGAGAAGGAACGAGAGAAAAAGAGCAATTCATTTATACATTTCGTTAATTGAACCGGCACAATTCGCGCTCTAACGGTCATCTGAAATTTGGACAGATTTCAAGCGAATTGGCAAATGCCATTAGTGTGCATACCGAGTGCAGCTTACGAAACAAACTGACCTCATGTTTACCCTAAAAGAGAGAGAGAGGTGGCACGAATTGCGGTTTGGTCACGAACGCGGCGTGATTAAACCCAGGTTTTGTTTCGTCCACATTTGGATGAAGGCAAAGCACCGGGAATTACCACGCGTTTGAAAGTTCACACTATGGTATGCCCCGGCAACATTAAATTCTAAATAGTTTTGCGTATACACAGCGTTTATTTAATGGAGCGACAGTTGCCAGTAGGTATAACATCTGTCAAGTTTGAACAATATCCGCAATGCGATCTGAAATTTTATGATATATATATATATATATATTAATAATATAAATTTATAACATATATACTTGTTATCATCATGTATTTTATAATTGGTGAACACCTTTGCACAGAAAAGTTCGTAACTCATCAGAGAAACTGACGTAACATTGAAAATTAATTTCACGAGAGAGGCTATTCGCCGTTCTTAAAATCTTTATTGACATTTGTAATCACGCGCGAAAGAGCAAGCTATCTTTTTAAAATTTCATAACGTACCATCATTATGACGCATTGTATTTCATGTACAAAGCTGCATGACGTGCGTAGTCTTAACGGAGTAGTTAAAAACGGTAACAGAGAAAACCTGTTAAGTCTCTTGCATTAAAGGGGACAGCCTACAAGGATCTTTCTTTAGATATTTAAAAAAGTTCTTTATAAGAAATATTTTTTAATGAGTTCTAAAACACGCAATTATAATAATAATAATTTGCAAGGCTATTAATATTTAGATTTCTAATATTATATCGTACTGTCATTGGAAGAAAATAATAAATTTTATTAAATATTTGTTTAAATGGTACTAAACATTTTATTTAGTTAATAATTAGAGTAACTGCTATATGTACGCCGCGCAAAACTAACAAATATTTATTAAGTATTATTCAATATGTTTACGATAAATAAACTATACCAATAAAAACTTTGTACTGTCTACTGTTATGAAAAAAAAAAATATATACTTTTATATTAAGAAAAGAACTTTTTAAAACTCTTACATTTTTTATGTGTATCCTATAAGGGTGGAATATACGGCTAAAATGGAGAAAGGGGGGAGTGGGATATATGTTTCATAAAAAATTTGCAAACAATACTTATAACTAACACGTAAAATGACATAATAATTTATAAAATATGTTTATAAAATTTTATTAAGAATAAGAATACAAATCTATTCAACTGGTTTTAATATTAACAGTAGGAAATTGAAATTATAATACAATACTAATATTTCACTAACATATTTTAAAAGTATATAACAGAATAATTGCACATTACTCTTACTCCTTCTACTTTTCTTTTATTTCTGCGGCGTAAATACCGTAGTTATCCTATTATATTA